GCCGCAACCATTGCCTCAACGCTACCACGGCCAACGCCATTGCCGCCGATACCACGGTAGTCAAACATCATGCCGGCCAACGCCAGGGCTGCCGACACAATCGCAGCCAACACTGCCACCACCGTTGTGCCTGCCTCGCGTCACCAGCCGCAACAACGGCCGTCAACGCCACGACTGCCACCGCGACCGCCGCCAACGCCACAGTCGTCAACACCTTGCCAAACTACGCCACGGACACCGACATCGTCGCCGTCACCACTGCCGCGGTTGTCATGTCTGCCACCCCACCGCCGCTGCAATTCCGGCCACCGCACCACGACTGCCGTCCCCCAAACCGCCCACAATCTATTTATCCCCTTTCAGAGTGATAATATCCAATGTTCCAGGTATATTGGATAGGATGGGTATATTCTATAATATACCCTTTGAACACTCTGCCAAGCTGACAACACATTTTTAAAGTGTGCTCATTTTTATTAAAAACAAACATCAAGCATCTTACTAGTACATAATATATTAAGTTGCTAATTCATGTTCTACTCTTTGTAGTATTTATCATGAATATATATATGCTTTTTGACGTGAGTCGCAAGTTTTCGATTGTGGACGGCGAATTCGAGGTCCAACGACGTGTGGTATGAGCAAAGGAGCACAAGACTTGTTGCTTGGGATCGTGGAAGCGCGAAAGGTGCATGTAGCTGATGCGAAGAAGGTGACGAGCTCGACGGACTTGCGGGAGAAGATTGCTGCGTACGAAGCGAAGCATGGTGCAGCGGTATCCATCCTGGACAAGATTCGACAGGTGATCGCTTGATGCGTCCATGTGTGTGTGTTGAAGCAGGTGTATGTTTGTGTGTGCAGAGCGCTCCACGCCTCGCCGTCGCTGCTGAGTTCAAGCGAGCCAGCCCTAGCAAAGGAGACATTGCCGTTGACGCCGATGCGCCGGGTACTGTGTGGAATTCTTTTGCGTTTCCGTGCCAGCTCACTCGATGGTGCTGCAGAGCAAGCGATGCTGTATGCGCAAGGTGGCGCGAGCGTCATCTCTGTATTGACGGAGCCTGCACGCTTCAAGGGGTCGCTCGACGACATGCTGGATGTCGCGCTCAAGGTCGAGACGCTCGGCACCGCCCGTCGTCCTGCCGTTCTGCGCAAGGACTTCATCTTCGACACGTACCAAGTGCTGGAGGCCCGCGCGTACGGTGCCGACAGTTTGCTTCTGATTGTGGCCATCTTGACCTTGGACGAGTTGACGACGTTGCTGACGGTAGTCGCCATGTCACGTCGTCCTTGTCACAGCTCTCTCGACAGGCGAGCCGCGAGCTCGGCATGGAACCATTGGTGGAAGTAAACAACGAAGAGGAGCTGGACGTGGCTATCCAAGCCGGTGCCAAGTGCGACGACCGACTTCCTCGATGGCTGACCTAACTTGTGAACGTGTGGACCAGGCTCATTGGCGTCAACAATCGCAACTTGCGGACATTCAAGCTCGACTTGAACACGACAGTCGACATTGCGAACGCCATGCGCCGCCGCGGCATCCCGCTGGAAGGTTGGTGCGCGACCTTGTCGACCGCGAGGCGTCCTCACTCCACAACGACAGGACCCGACAGCATCCTGCTTCTCGCGCTCAGCGGCGTCTTCACCCGCGAGGACGCTCTCAAGTTTGAAGAGTGCGGCGCCCATGGCGTGCTGGTTGGGGAAATGCTCATGCGGTGCCACAACGTGAAAGACATGATTCAGGTGACCATCGCATTCCCTGAAACACACTCTCCATGACACGGCGATGATGATCACGAACGGCTGACTCGGGTGCTGTCGATGTAGGAGCTCAAGGGCGTTAGCAGTCACACCCAGGGCAAAACCCTCGTCAAGACATGTGCGTGCGCGCCAGGCGATGTGGCCATTTGATACCGGTCAAACCGAGGGATGGCGCTGACGTTCGCTAGGCGGGATCACGGACGCCGAGACGGCACTCGTGGCGGCGAAACACGGCGCCAACTTGATAGGGATCATCTTTGTGCCCAAGTCTCCGCGCCATGTCGACTTGGACACCGCCGCGGACATTGTCCAAGTCGTTCGCAAGTTTGGCGAGCGGTCGTCGCGAGTGACGATTGAATTGGATACGTTTCCGTCGTCATCGCCGTCGTCGATGGACACCATCTCGACGTGGTTCCAGTCGCATGCGAAAAAACTGACGGCTGCGAGCGCCCGCACCCCGCTTGTCGTTGGTACGATCGCGCGCGGGACGAAGCCCGGCAGTCGCACGAGCTAACGCGGGCACACGTAGGTGTATTCCAGAACCAATCGGTCGAGTACATGAACCACGTGGCCGAGACAGTCGGGCTCGATTTGATTCAACTGCATGGCGACGAAGGTGCGTGCCTCGTATGCTTGCATGGGCTCATGGTGTGGACAACAGGGTTCGAAGTGTGCCGCGACCTCGTCGTGCCGGCGATCCGCGTCGTCCACTTGCCTGGTTTCCACACTGGCGGCAGCGTCAACGTCGAAGCGATCAAAGAAAACGTCCAAGCCGGTGGGTCTGTTGGGCGAGGCGTACAATTTTGACATGTTGCCAGGGTATGCGGTCGCGATTTTACTCGATACGGCCGTCAAGGGCCAAATGGGTACGAGATCGGACCGTCGTCGAGAAGAGTGGCCTTCGAATGGTATCATGCACGTGTAGGAGGAACCGGCGCCGTTTTTGACTGGAACGTCGCGGCGAGCTTCGACCAAGCCGGCATTCCGTGCCTCATGGCTGGAGGACTGACACCGCTCAACGTGGCACGTGCGGTGCAGGTGGCAACGCCTCTCGGAGTCGACGTGAGCAGCGGGCTCGAGGATGGTACGCCAGGCGTCAAGAACCACATGAAGGTGCAGCAGTTTATCCGCAACGTTGTCCAACCCCCGCTGTCGAGCCTGGACAGTGTCGAAGAAGACAACTCGTGCGATGATCGCAAGTAGGACGTTGTCGACTTGCGACGTTGGCCCGTGCGTTCGAATGCTGCTAATGCAATCGGTTGTTGAGCTGCCGATGGTCCGCTTGGTTGTTGGTTTGAATGCCAAGTTTTGGGTCGTCGTCGTGGCTTGCGTGCCTTGGGTCGATGGCGAGCCAACGCAACGCCCGACTACAGTCGAAGCAGCCACTCGTGGCTGCCATGTGTAGTACTAGCCGCGGACCCGGGGTGTCGACGTGTGCAGCCGACAGTTTCCTTCGAAAACACCCTATGGCCGTGTCTACGGCGATATGCCATCTCGTTCGTGCATGAAAGACGGCGCTGCGCAAGTGTACAGAAGACGACGCCATGACATTATTTTTTCTTCCGTCTCTTATGCATCCCTCGTGACGAACGCAATCGATTGCTTGACCCACAAGTCGTTGACGGATGCCGACTTGCGCATCATGGCCGGTTTTGGCTTTCCGACCACGACGTGCGACTGCTGCACCCACAGCGCCGACGCTTTGGACGGTGGCGTCTCTGGCGCCACGTCATCGACCTTGACCCGCTTGGCTGTGCTTGTCAGGTCGACGTGGCTGTGGTCGACGTTCTTCTTGCGCTTCTCCCCTTGGGACGCGGCGTCTTCACCAACGGGATGCCGCGGCATCGGCAACGCGCTATGGGCCATCCCCTCGACCTGATCACTCGAAAGTTGCCGACGAACGCATGTGCTGGCATCGGCCAATCAGCTCGCGTGATTTGATTTGGACTTGGAATTTGTATGGTGGGCACACCGCACACCAACGTTTTGGTTGTACCAGCACTTCATTGACACGTTGCCACCGATCGCTGGACCGCCAAGGTCGAGGGAGGGGCCTTCCACCCACCGCACCTGACTGCTGATCCATGCCATGCAGCACCCATCGACTCGTATGGGATTCAAATACCGACTTCGTCGTGAATGCGTTGACCCTGCTAGCCATTGCGTGCGCAACGTGGATGGACGCACTGGGCGATCGATCGAGCAGCGTCGATATACAAACGGTGCGACCTAGTCGTCGAGGATGCGCGTTTGGGCTGGGTGTGCGCATGTGTCGTGCCGCATCGGCGAGAGAGAGAGCGTCATGCATGGGTCGCCATCGTGGTCGTGTCGTTGTAGTGGGGGAACTTGTATAATTTAGTATACATGAAAATTAAATTAGAGAGTTCTTTTGTGGTCGAAACCGTTTTCTCGACCGTTTTGACATTGCAATCTTCGCCGGACGCGCGACGACGGGGGCCGATGGTGGTGGAAGGCTGCGAGAGCGACTGCCGTGCGTCAGGATCCGTGCTGAGAAGCATGTGCTACCGACTGGACCTTGTTGAGAAGAAGACCGTGGAGGGGGTACGTCTCGGAATCATTCCAATGCAACGCGACCATTACGAGTCCCTTGCAGGCAGGGTCGTGCAAAACCATCGCGTTCAACTTGAAAGAGCTCGCGTCGGCGGAAGACCGGCATGCGAAAGCGTACCAAAAGATTCAAGAAGCCTTGCAGAACGTCCCGAACATGTACGCGTTTATCTCGTGGTGTCAGTGACCTCACACAAACACCCCCACGATCAGCAAGAGTGGCAACGTCGCGCCCGTTCTCAAGGTCAGTGCGTACCTGCAAAACGAGATGTCCCTGTCTCTCCCCATCGAACAGCATCACTGCGAGTAGACTTGGCACAATGCGCTGATGAAGCATGCCGTCGACACGTCCACGACCAAGCGGCGTTTCGCCACGTCGTTGATGACGAACGTTGTGAATCCTCTGCAGGACCATGTAAACCAGTACCGAAATCAAACGCGCCAAGTATTTTTTGAAATGCGGTCGTCGTACGAGGTGCTCGGTACGCATTTTGTTGTTGCTCGCGTGCCGTGTCATGGGCGGCTTGTCGCAGTGACGAAGCGGAACCAAGTCGCGGCCGCCAAGGAGAAGTACTTCAAAGCGTGCAAGGCCGCGGACTCTGCGATCCGCGTTCGCAACTCGACAAGGGATAAAACCGAGAGCGAGATTGCGGCCAAGAAGAACACACCGACGTTGCAGCACCCGCCGCTTGCCTTGCTAGAGGCCAAGCGCGATGAAGTCGTCGCGGGACTGAATCTCAAGATCCAGGCGGCTCTCGATCAAAGCAGCGCCGCCAAGGAGGTGTACATTCAAGCAGACGCGGCGTGTCAAGCCGAGCGGTTGCGGCACGAGAGCGTCGTGGCGGACATGTTGCGCAAGGTGGGAGCGCGCGCGTTTTTTGCACTTTGTCAGCTCTGCCTTGTCTAGCTCGACGGGATTGAAGTCCAGCGCGAAGAGCACGTCCAAAACCAAGTGTTTTTCCGACTTGCGGCCATGTACCAGGACATGGTGACGTGCTTGACCGCCACGCACAACGCGCTCTTTGACGAGTCCGATGCTGCTTTCACGGTAACTCAACGCCTCCGATCGCTGGTTCCCGTTGGGTACTTCACACGAACCAGGCGGCGCGGGACGGCGTCGCCGATTTTTCAGACGACTGCCACTCGCCCGACGACATTCTGACGTACGCCACGGATCAAGTGACCACCGACCTCGACACGTTGGCAAAACTGAGCGAAGTACGCGCCAAACATGGTTGAGTGCATGACGATGTTGGAGCGTGTGTTGGGGAGTTGGTGCGCTGGGACTGAACAAATGCCATTGCTGCGTGCGCCGCCGTCGCGATGTGGTGTTTTGAAATGGCTTTGTCCATCGACGTTCGTGTTGTTGGGGGGCTGAACAACGGAAGTGTACCGGTTGCTGCGTCGCGATGTGCCTCTTGTTGGTGTTTTTGAAATGGCTTGGACCAGCATGGGTCTGTGTGTTTCGCGCTCGATGCGGCATGCATAGTGGGCAAGAGTTCGATGAGTCCCAGAAATCGCGGCACGTTTGGCTCAACTTGTGTGTTGAAAGGTGTTTGCACTGACCCAAACCACATTCGACGTGCATGCCAAGCGACTGGAGCAAGTGGCATCGAGTGCGTCGTGGGCGCTGAGTGACTTGGATGGCGAGTTGCTCGCGCACGCATGGGACAAGATCCAGTCCAGCGTCCAAGTGTTTGCCCGCATTCATGGCGACTTCTCGAACGCGATCGGGTACGCGGGTTGCGCTACGTCGAGATGCCATAGCGTTTTGTCCACAGAGGGTCGATCCCGTCCGTGTGGAAAGATTTGAAAGCCGCGCACGGCCATGCCAAAAAGCAGTTGGCGTCGATGGTACAGAGCCAACAAAAAATCGACGGACCGATGACGTCGCTGCTCGCAGGTCCAACGCATTGTGTTGAAGCGGCAAGGCGTGTACACCAACGAACGGGACGCGACCGTCCGATTCCATCAAGCCAAACGCGAGCTGGACGCGAAACACGCCCAACTGCGTGCCGTCGAGCGCGAGGCCGTCGACGAAGCCAAGTCGCCCGACAAGGGAATCATGACGCTCGTGTCGCTCGGGTGGAAGGACCCTGCCAACGTTCGTCTCGTCAAACTCAAGCGGGTCTGTCAAGGTCATGCTGGACGGCCGGGACGACGCGCTGAGTCGCACGTGATTAGAGTTTGAAGAGACCGACATGGCGATGGCGGCCAAGCAACTCGCGTTTGCGAAACACGCCACCGTCGACTTTGACGTCCAGTATCACGCGGCCGTCGCCGCCGTGCATGGCGACTTTATCGTACGCGATGCATGTCGAGAGAGATCATTTTTTTGTCATGGCGGCGAGACTGATCCATGCTGCATTCTAGAGCGCCCAAGCCCACGTGATTTCGGCACTGGCCAAGATCTCGTCGACGTGGCGAACGGCATGCCGCGTTGCAGACACATCGCTCGACCACATCCTCCACGACGTCTTTGCTGCGATCGAAGCCATCGACCCGATAGCAGACTTGACGGCGTTTGTCACCGCCATGCAAAAAACGAACGCGATGCCAGCTCCCGAGACGGGCAAGATGGCGCGACTGGAGCTCTACACGAGCGACCTGATCGAGAACGAGACACAGCCCCCACCGCCCGCCGTACGTCGCCCGCCTTGCGTGCGTGGCTCATTGGAATGCTCGAGGTAGGCGCCAGTGGAGCCCGGCGACGCAACAAAGGTAAGCAGCGCCGAGTTTGACGAGCTTGGGCTGGCACATCGGTCACTTGCAAATGATGTCCATCCTGTGTGGATGTGTACCCACTTGCCAACGTGGCGCATTAGATCGTGCACCTCCCGGCGACGAATCAAGTCGAGTTTGGCGTGGTGCTGTTTTACATGTGCGGCCTCTTGGCGTTGTACGCCGTTCATCAAGTGCTTGGACGGGAGCTGGCCCAGATGCAACTTGTCGTGGAAGATTACCATGCCTCCATCGCGGGTCTCGACTCGATGCTCGCGCGCATTGACTGAGGTCGATTATTGCTGGCCACAGGCCTTTTGCATGACAAAGAAGAAGTACCCGAGGCCAATATCTGCGGCCGTTTGAGCCAACAATATACATGCGCACGCCATTTTTTCGTACCGATGTTGTGGTGCTGGAGGTTCCACCCGTATGCCGTGCTCAAGCTGCCGTGGGGAGCGTCACCCTAGCAAAGAGCGTTGGCAGGGATGGGAACGGTGGGTGTTGTACCAGCAGATACCGCTTGCGAAAGTGCGGCTGGCCGAACGAGATCTGTATAAAGGTTCCTGTTGCCGTGAGGACCGATTGCACGCCAGCACACATTTGATGCCCCGCTGCCAAGAGGTGCGATGGAGGACTCCATGTGTCGCCGCCTTCGACCTACCACGACGCTGCCGCCACAAGAGATGGACCACGGCTCGATCGTACCATCAGCGCGTCCATCGCTGCCTTGTCGATGACAACGTCAAACGACTGCGGGGCAAACGACTCGGTCAACGTGAGCATGTCGCCGACGATCCACGTCATCAGCGGATGCGACACCTGGACACGAGTGTCAACGCGCCATGAAGACGATTGCGACGTACCGAGTATTTTGCGCGCATGCGGTCGATCACGACCGTGGAAAAGTCGAGGTTGACGATGTTGGTGTAGCCAGCTTCGTACTGCGGGACGTCGTGAAGACGAGGCGGCAGTGCTTTACGTACCAAGTCGACGCTGAACGTCGAGTTGCCGCATCCAACGATGAGAATGCGCTGGTCTGTTCGCACGTATTGATCAAGGAGGGTCGCAACGTCGTTGTACCGCGCGAGCCAGTCGTACGATTCTTCGCTGCATCGCCATGGATGAGGTGGCCGTACGCGACGCGCGGAGACAGCAATACCTTTCAAAGCGTGAGTCCCAGTACTCTTGCTTCCCGTACTCTCTGTTATCCTTCTACACGAGGATATCCATCAAACCCATGCGCCTTCGTTCCAGGACCGCATGGCGACCCACCGGCAGCGGCATATCGAGAACTCGGTAGAATCGTCCATTCTGGCACCACCGACAATTAACCAATCAACATGGGTTTCACGTGGTTTGACGACATGTGATTGGTCGATTCAAATACGAAGCGTTTCACGGTTTCACGTATGAAAAGCTGCCAGGCAAGGCGGTCGAGGACGCCGCCGATCTGCCGTGGGCGCGCGCATGATAAGGTTGGTGCACTCCCGCAACGCTGCTCTTGACGAGTAGGAAAAGTGTCTCCTGAGGCTGCAGCCGCTTGGACCTGCGTCCTAGAGATTACAGCTTGTCCCCGACCGCCCACGACACATCGCAACGACAGCGCAACGATCATGCAGCACATCATGGAATGCACATACCATCCATCCGCCAATGCTTTCGTGAGGTACGTTCCACCTCTTGGCGGCAGTCCCTCATGCACGATGTGTTGTGGATGCCATCCATGAAACGTGTGCAAGCGTTTCATGCCCGAAACTGCGGCAAGTATACGATGGGCGGGTCCATCTCGATGCTTCGCGCGGAGATCAAGGCCCATGTAAAGATCGCGCACGACTACCCCAACCTTCTCGAGCCTCATCTGGCAGGTATGGTCCATCCCGATCTTGCCGACGTTGGTGTCACACGTGCACACTAGTCGTACGCTTCTTGCTCGAGCGTACGTCTCCGTGGTTTTGACTCGTTGGCAGAGGTATTGATTGGATTTGCCGCGTGCATGCAGTGTGCGAAGAGGGCGAAGGGATCGCGGCAAAAGATCGCGACAACCCCGACGTCCTGGACCGCCTCAAGCAAGTCGAGTTCGACGTGTCGACGGAAGTGGAGCTCGTCGCCGAGAACGAAGACGCGATCTCGATCCTCTTGACGTCCGTCGAGACGTACTCGTCCATGATCCCAGCGCCTGAACGCGATACCAAGAAACGTAGGCGCAGTTGAATACCAGTGAACGATGACACGTGCGGCAGGATGGTTGGGGCGCTGTCGCGCGCCAGAACCGTTCCCCGACTTGTACGACCCCGTCGAAGCCGTCGACTTGGACCGTTCTCGCGTCTCCCTCGTGCGGTAATAACGTTGTCGGTCCCACTTGCCGCCCGACGCGTCCTCACGAATTCAACAGGATGGCACTTCGTTGCCTTCGCATGATCACTGTCATTCACGACGTCAAGCTGTTTGTGATGGACACCCCCGCCATCGCGGCGCTCAACCGCGTCGTCGACGCGAATCCACTCGACACGTTCATTCGGAAAGACGTCAACGCCATCTTCAAAAGTAATCGTTGGTTTGCCACTTACGTCGAATGGTCCGTAACGAGTGTAGATGTGTACGGCGGCGACGAATCCGTCAAGCGTCTGGAGAACGCGTCCGTCGCGATCGCGGTCGAAGTCATGACCGACTTTGCCGAGTCGGACGTGGTGCGTCGTCCATCCCATGCACCACGTTGCCCACGACCGTAGGTCCAACTGGCCGCCATCAAAAGACTCTCGTGGTTGGTTGGGGAGTACGCAGGTTGTGTTTCTCGCACGAGCAATCGTCGACGACATAACAGCTCGTAGATATGGCCAAGTGCAAAGCGGACGTGCTCGCGTTCGACGTCATTCCGGCTGTCGGCGCCGCGCTCTCGACGTTTCCCGAGACGCACTATGACGTGTATGCACATGCATGCCGATTCTTCACGGTGCTGGTCCCGCCCAAGGTGTTAAAACACAACGACGAACATGGCGTTCCTCATGACGGTACCATGCATCCCATGCCTCTCTTCTCCCTGGCTGTCGACCGACAGCTCCATCGCACCGCGGTCAAAGTCGTCCGATCTGCTGCGGCGTGCACCGGACAACGATGTATACTCACGCGCGTTTGAATGACTAGAGACGCTTGCCAAGGTCATTGGGCAACACGGCGGGGTCGAAGCCGCGATCAAACTGCTCAAGACGTGCCGCGGGTTTTACACAACGTCGCCGAACCTCACGTCGGCGGAAGAGGACGTAATCCCGCCCTCTTCTGTCAGACAGCCACGTCATCGATGGTGCGTAGATGCTGCGACCGAAGCAAGGCACGAAATTGCAGCCAGCCCCCACGCCGAGTGCCAAAGTCACGCCGATTGCAGTCGAGTCGACCCGGGACATCTTGAGTGATGCTTATGCGGGAGTTCCAGGAAACCAGACCGACGACCAGCCGAGTGCCGACGTCGACGCGAGAAAGGTGCGGAAGACTTTGGGGTGCCGCCTGGATGACATCGGTAGGCGCCGAAGCTGACCGACTGGACGAAACCCGACCTGGCGCAGCAAGCGCTGTGGGCACTGGACGTTCTCAGCATTACAGAATTCAATCGTGTGGCCATGAAGCGAGAAAAACTCAAGTTTGTCCTGTCCGAAGTCACTCTTGGGTCCAGCCTGATCGTGCCACGACGACTGCGGCTACTCAACTGGAAACACATTGGCCGCGACGACGATGGCGACGACTTTAGCTGACTGCGCGACGCGCAGCATGCGCTTGCCTGACAACGCACGCGAGGACGGGGCCGCCAGAAGCACATGTCAACGACATGGGACCACCAGCGAGGATGCATCGCATCGTCCGACCGCGCCTGCAACGATAAGAGCCCATGTTTCATTCGTTATATCACTTTGTGGCTACGATGTCTCGCTCTTTTGACAAAGACGACAAGCGGCGGCGCGTAGGGCCATCTGGCCGCTGTCCTCGACTGGTTTGGGTGGCTCGCAGGGGCCACCAGCAGGTGTCGCCCAAGTTGAAGTGCCACCCGAATGGCGTGGCGTTCGCCGAGTTCAAAATCCGGATACCACCGGGTAGACGCGCGCTCCATTTTTTAAACATATCATTTCCCACATGGTATTTGTATTGATATTTAATCGTGGCCAGCAGAGGGTGTGGGATATCCGGATACGTCGACGTCCCGCGGGACAAAATTACGTCGTCGTTGTCACATTTTGGCAATTGCATTGCGCTGATCGCGCAAGGACAGGCGGCACCACCAATGAGCACGACATCGCCGATCAACGAGAGGTCGGCGCTGATCCGTGTGTCCAATTCGGTCGTCGAGGCGACCAAGATGACGACGGCGTCCAACGACCACGTGGTGACGCTTCCGCAGAGCTCGTCGCTGCCAGACGTCACGGCGGTGGACATGCGCGCCATGCCGACCCATCACCAACACATGAAAGCAGGAGGGTTGCTCCATGCGCCACCCCTTCGTCGCGAGTATGATCCCACGATGGCCGCGCCGTCGAGCCAAGAGTTCTCCCCAGCGAAAATGAGCATCGACGGTGGGTCCGTCTTCAGCCACAACACTGCAATCGACGACTTGTCGCCCCGTGCAATTTTGCAGTCGCTGCCAAGTGTACTGATTGCTGTGATCCTCAACTTGATGATTTCGATTCCGTTTGGACTTTCGTTCTTTCCGTTGGAATGGACCGAGCTCCCCGCGCCGCGCGCGATCGGGATCCAAATGTTTCTTCTCACCACGTTCATCTGCCAGTTCGTGTTTGCCGGTATGTCGTTTCCCGGTTGTACTCGTTTTGTTGACAGTGTCATGCAGTGCGCAGCTCGTTCGATTGTTCCGTGGGCATGATGATGGTGGAAAACGTTCCGTTCATGCACACGCTGTCCTTGTCGATCGTTGCCGAGGTCGGCGCGTCATCGCCCACGGCGCTTCCGACCATTCTCGTCGCGTACGCGTTGTCATCCGTGGTCGTGGGCTGCATGTTTTACGCGCTGGGGTACTTCAAGCTCGGGTCTGTCATCTACCTCTTCCCCAAGCACATTATCATTGGCGCGATCGGTGGCATTGGTACTGCCATCTCGTTCCGACTCGATACCAACTACTCTGACGTGTAGGGGTCTTTGTTGTCCAAAATGGGCTCCAGAATGCCACGGGTGTGTCGGTGCAATGGACGTGGGACGGCCTCGTGCGCCTCGCCGAGCCGGACGTGTTGTACTTGTGGCTGACGTCGGTCGCCCTCGTTGTCGTCCTTGGCATTTGTCTGCGTTTTGCCAAGTCCCCGCTCTTTTCGCCCTTTTACTTTGTGTCGATCGTTCCGTTGTTTTACGTAGTCCTGTGGATCTTGGGCATCCCGATCGAGGTACATCGCTGCGCGAGCTCGGACGTCATGCAGTAGCGTAGACGGCCCGCGCCCACAACTGGTTCTTTGAACGACCGCCCGAGGTGCCGTTCTACTCGATGTGGTCGCACTACGACTTTTCCCTCGTCGAGTGGTCGGTCATTCCCAAGCAGTTTGGGACGTTGGTCGGGCTCAGCATCTTCAGTCTCATGCACGTGCCCATCAACATCCCGTCGCTCAGCCTGACGACGGGCCACGAATGCGACATCAACGACGAACTGAAAGCTCATGTACGCCACGACTGCCGCCGCACTCGTTCGCGTCAACCCTATGCTGCTGTTTTCCACAGGGCATCTCCAACACCCTTGGCGGCCTTGTCGGGAGCGTTCAAAATTACTTGTGCTACTCGACGTCCGCGCTGTACTACAAGTGCGGCGGCGGTGGCCGTCTCCAGTCGGTGCTCATTGGCGTATTCGTCAGCATCCTGTTCTTTGCCGGGCCGGGCATTGTCGCGTACGTCCCGCGATGCATGGCGGGATGCTTGATGGTCCACGTGGGCCTGGACCTGTGCAAGGAAGCCGTTGTCGACACGTACGCGGAACTCGACCGGTTCGAGTACGCGACGGTGTGGGTGATCGCCCTGACCATGACATTCTGGGGCATGAACGAAGGTCCTTCCCCCGATATATCTCGTTGACAACATTGCTCCTGACTACGTTCGACAGGATTGGCTGTCGGAGTGTTGCTGGCGTGCGTCGCTTTTGTCGCGCAGAGCGCCCCGGCGGGTCCGTTGCGCGGAAGCATGAGCGCAGCTACACTACGCAGTAGTGCCTGGCGCAGCACGTCCGACCTGGAAGTGCTCGACCGCGTGTCTCGAAACGTGCATGTCGTGCAGCTCAAGGTACACCCTGGTTTACATCTAACCATGCAGCCACGTGGAATCGTCCAGCAAGTAGTGGGCAAATGTGGTGCTGCGCGGCCAACAACAACTAGGGATCGCCGTGATCGTCTCACGTTGGTTGTGCATGGCAGGGGCACTTGTTTTTTGGCAACATTCACAAGTTGACCGAGTACATGACCGACCTCTTGGTCAAGTTTCCCGAACTCGAGTGCATGGTGGTGGATTTTACGTTGGTGGTCGCGATCGACTCGTCGGCCGCGGATCGATTGTCCAAGCTAAAGTACGTCGCATGACAACGTACGACCCGAGAGACTCACATGGGCAGGTTTGTGTGTGCCCCGTACGAATGCCGCCTCGTGTTCACGGCGATTCCCGCGGCGTACACGCGCTTCCGCCGCGGCATGTTGATGCAAGCATCGCCCGTGTTTCACGTTGCCGACGACCTGAACGACGCGATCGAGTGGAGTGAAAACGAGCTCTTGCACCGGTACAAGGCCGTGCCGGCCATGACGAAAGAGCCGTCGCTTCCGAAAGAACACGCGTTCCTCACACGCTTGCACAACTTGTGTCCCGGGCAGCCGCTTGCGGTGCTGGACAAGCTCCTCGCGTATTTTGACCGCAACGAAATCCCAGGCAACGTTCAGGTACCACCAACCGCGTTGGACGGCATGGAGGTCGCGAATCACGCGGCTAGGTGTGGCGCCAAGGTGATGCAGCCACGTCGGCGATGCTGCTTGCAGAAGGATGCATGCAGGCGATTGTAGAAGAGGAAGCAGGGACCAAGGTGCAGCCGACGTCGCCCTGTGTCGACTCCAACGTTGGTATATCGTCGTTAGGAGGACATTTCGGTCGGTGCGTTGGTCGGAGAGCTGTGTTTGCTCACGGGAGAAAAGCGAAAGACGTCTGTTGTCACGGTTCGAAGACGAAAAAATGACAGCGGACTGACGCGACGATGTGGTAGATGGAGCGCTGTGTCGTGTACGTCTTGACGGAAGAACGGTTCAAGGACATGCTCGAGAACGACAGCTTGCTCGCGTTTGTTTTTCAAGGCATTGCGCTGCGATATGTGTCGCTCCGACTGCAATATGTCGGCAATCGCATCTGGGAAACCAAGTGCCTTCCCATCTAAGCGTGACGAATGAAACGTGTGTACTACCTATATACCATCGTTCGTTTCGACGATCGGTCCCATGCATCCCGAACGACTGGTGCATCGAGTCGTGTCACGCGATAGATGTATGCACACATCTGTGGACGACATGGCGCGGTTCCCGAGATTTGTCGTTTGCTGTCTTACTTTTTGATCCACGAGTCGTCCTGCGCCAACTTTTTGTACGTGTGGGCAATTTGGTCGAACATGTCGCTCTGGTCTTTCAGCAGGGCCTCGTTCGCCTTGAGGCGCTGTTGCGATTTGTCTCGTCGTGCGTCCGAGATGTTGGACGCAATCTGCATCGCGTTCTTCTCACACACTTCCAGCCACTCTTGTACCTTTAGCAGCTCGTCTGGGACTTGTGCACCCATCTCCTGCAGCTCTTGGATCAGCTTTCGTCCGAGGGCGACGTTCGTGTTGGCGCCGTTCGTGCTCATGGTGGCTGGTGGTGCGATTCGCACGTACAACTTGGTATAAGAACATTTCTGAACCCAGGACGGCATCATCTATCTCAATTATAAATGAATTCAACGACGTTCACACGAAATCGACGCACAAGCAATCGATTTTCATCCATTTTTCATCCCTGAATAGATGAAGAAGTTGTTTAAAATCCCCCATGCAACACACACACCTCACGACATGCGATGATGCCAGACGCCGCCGAGATGTCGTTCGTGGGGGTAAAAGTGGCCTTGGCTGGGCATTGCAAGACGAAAGGGAACGATGCGTTCAAAGCAAACGAGTTTCGACGGGCGGAAGCGTACTACAAACGGGTATGCGTCGACCAGCGCAGCCATAGCTTACGTCGTCGCGATCGTAGGGGTTGCAGTTCCTCGAGACTCCCCAGAGCTGCAAATACGCACAAGAGGAACTTGAAGCAGTGGGGCCGATGCTTGCAACTTTGCATGTCAACATCGCAGCATGCTGCCTGCAAGACGGCGCGTGTCATCTTGACCAGGCCATTTTGCACTGCACTCAGGTTCACCGCGCCGCCCGCTGCCACGATTGTTTGCGACGACGTGGTGTTGGACGTAGGCCATCAAGAGCGACTCGTCCAACGTCAAAGCGTGGTATCGGAAGAGCCAAGCGCATTTGAAGCAAAAGGAGTTTGCTCTAGCCAGACATGACATCATGGAGGCTGTGCGGCGAGACCCCGATTCGCTCGCCTTCCGTACGTGCGCTCCCACCGCGTTTCTTCCAAAAGAACGTGCACGACGACATAGGAAAGCATTTGGCGAGTGTTCAGGCGGCCGCAACACAAGCAAAGCTGGCCGAGAAAGCTGCGTTTCATGGCATATTTCAACGGGTCGCCGGAGCCCCCACCACGTCCCTCGTGAGTGAGTAGAGCCCATGATGGAGCCATGCCTTTCTCCATCATGGCTTGGTAGCACGCACACGACCAAGCTGTCTCGATGTAAATTGCGGATATTAGAACAGAATGACACATACGCAGAGCACGATTTGTTGTTGGCCGCAGCACCCGCGGATGCGAATTGCATGGCTGTAGAAGCCACGCCGGTCCTTGCGCCGCTGTGCATAACGACGCCGTCAATCGCCGTCGCTGTCGTCGTGTATTTCAGTCGGGGACGACCCCGTGAGTTCCGCAGCCGCGACCTGCTTCTCCACGTCGAGCTGGTACTCGCTTTGCTTGAGCTTGCACATGGGCTCGGCGCATTCTTCATTCGGCTTGAACCAGAACGTGCTGATGTCCATGTCGAGGCAATTCACCCGGTAGAATGGAATTTGCTCGCCAAACTCGAGCAGCAACCTAAGCGCAATCAAGGGACCCGATTCAACCACAGCACTTGTCGCAACAAATTCGCACGCATGTCGTTGCCAGCGTGCCATGGGCAACACGGAACTCGTCGATGGCATGCCGAACGTACTTGATTGCGCTTTGCGACGCCAGGCCCGCCGCCATCAACTCGCACTGGGGCAACGTAGCCGGGCACTCTCGGGACACTGCGTCCGCCACGATCGCGTCTGCTTCGAACTTGTCTGACCAATGACACTGCCAGCATGCGACTCCAGAGTCACATGACGATGCCGTCGATCGCCGCCACGTACCTGCATGCACGCGCTGTAGCCAGGGAAAATGGTCTGGACGGTAATCGCCGAGCTGCACGGCGACAGTCGGACGTCGATCAATGGAATGCTGAGCTGCAGGGCTATCTAGGCATGGTTTCCTTGATGCCACGGTTCAGATCCAAGGTCGGTCCCTCTTAAATTACCTGGTTGACGCGCCCTCGTGCGGCCGAGTTGTCGACACAGCACAGGATGGCATCCATGGGCAATCGAAACTGCATGTGGCCATGGCTGGCGCGGGCATGCGATGGATTCGAGTGGTGGTCGAGGCCAATTTGATCCGTCGGCCCGGTCGACGTCTGGTGCATTTTGCAGTCTTGGAGCACATCCAGCAACACTTCAGCGTCGAGCTCTACCGAGTCCGTCCCATCCACCAACGCATGAACCATGACCTAGTGACGGGTGGCTGCTCCTTACCGTCATTGACGTTGCAATGAAAAGTCTCGATCTCGACGTGAGGATTCAAGTGCCGCAGGTACAACCGCGACGCCTGCACCTTGGACATGCCCACGTGCTCGGGCAAATAGTGCATGCGGCTCATGCTGGCCATCTTCACTACTCCTACCCATGATCTCACACGATAAATACACAGAGTCGGTCAACAGGAAGGCCGTCGCGCGCTTGAGCGTTCTCGCTCGTCGGGACATTGACATGGCCACGAACCGTGATCAATCAAGGTGAGCTTGCCCACCCCGCTACGAGTGAACATTTCAGCGACTAACGCGCCTACACCGCCGAGACCGATGACCGCGACACATTTTTGCTTGAGGTCCTGCCACCACCGTCCATGAGACAGCAGTCCCATGACCCTATGCCCCCGGGAACACCACGTACCTCAATGTTTTCAATGATCTTCTTCTTGCGGAACGACGCCAAGTGGCTACAACGCCGACTTACCCAATGGGATCGGCGACGAAACACACCTGAAGCGATTCTTGAGTGTAAACTTGACGCTGGCAAAGTCTGGACGGGGCTCGACGTGGTCCTTGAGCAAGCACGACTGCTTTCTTGTGACGGCCACGTCGAGAAGGGGCCCCGGTTGGGTCGTCATGTTGTTGTCGAGTCGATCCATGGCCAGTTGCATCTGCGCCAGGAGCGGCACCTCCCCTACCACGGGCGGTTTGACCACGATGGGAGGTCCAGTCGTGCTCTCGTCCGCCGATTCTTTCAAGATCGCCACCGCTGCCTCCATTGTGTCGGGTTATTCGGTGTATCATGAAACCGTCGCGTCGTTTCAGTCGCCGTTTCACGAAAGCGTATGCAGGCGATTGGCTGAATGGAGGGGACATTAGCCAATCATGCATCTTTAAATAGTTTGATTGGCTTATTTTCGTCTGAAATTGGCCAATGAGACATCACCCCAACTCACGTTTGCGTCGCTCAGCGAGATGACGTCGCTCGTTCTGGCCATGCTGTCTCAACTACACTTTAATGCCTTGGCGCCTCTGAAGAGCGCCTGCTCGACGCGCAACTCTTGCTTGAGCGCGGCATTGTCCTTTCGCAGCGCTTGGTTTGCCGCGTCCAACGCGTGCACTTTCGACTCGACGTCACACATGCGCGCTGTCCACGACGCGTCGAGCTCGGTTTTGCATGCTGTTGCCGCGTCCAGCTGGCTACGAATGTCCTGCACCGCACAATTCTGTTGGTCGTTCCACAAGTGATGGCGCACCCACCTGGGATTCACGCTGGAGGTCCATGAATTGACCCCGCACTTGGTCGGCGATTTCGTTCGCAAGCTTGACCTTTTCGCGCTCCTCTTGCACGGTCGCCGTCCACCGCGCGACGTCGGCGTCCCAGCTACTTTGCAATTGGTCCAACCGGTGCTTGGCCAGGAGTTCTCGCGCTTCGACTTTCCGCTTCGACGCGGCACACGCAGCCATGGCTGACGTCGCGGCCGCTAGTTTTTCCTACGATGCCATCTGGTCGTCAACTTCATGAGTGTGTCTGCTATCTAGATGGACACATGCCTCCACAGCCGCCCTCGACGATTCTTCCTTGGCGAGAGATTGCTGCAGGTACTGGATGTCCTGCGTTAGGCATTTCACCATGCTAGCAAAGTTGGCTTCCGATGTGACCTACGACAATCACGCCATCACAGCCAAGGGAACGAACAATCTGCCACCATGACATGGACTGCTTTTCATGGCGGGAAGATCCTACCAACGTCAGCTTGAGCTCCGCATACTGCCCTTGTGCATCGGCGACTTGTTGTGCCATCGTCTTGGCTTGGGTCTTGGACTCTGCGATGCCCGCCGTCGCCTTCTTTACTTGATTTCTCATTGTCATTAAATGCCGTGTGCATTCATGCAACTTGGTCTCCGCTTGAGTTCGACGGAGGACTTCGGCGTGACGCATTTCCTCGCTCTTGGCGAGCTCTACACTCGCAACAAATTCAAACCCCATTCTCAACGAAAGCTGCCGTCCGGCGATCCGTACGCTTAGTGAGGTCATCTACCGCTCGCTGTACGTGGTTGCATTTGACTTGAAGCTCAGCAATCTGGGTATGCAATGGGGACACGATAGCTTGATGCGTGGCGGTCATCGCTCGCTCCTGGGCATACAGTGCTTCTTGCGCCGCTTTCTCGGCTGACGCATGCACCTCTTGCAAAACCTTTGCATGTGAGTCGTTTATGTTGGCCGTCTTTTGGTGTAGGATTAACTCGTGGTCCTCCAGAGAAATATGCGTCCTGCGGACGGAATTGAGCGACTCCTGGAGCACGTGGAGCTGGTGTTGATGCGATGCGGCATGGAAGCCGAGGAGGTCCTCGTACTTGGCCTGCAGGTTGACACAAAACTCCTCCGCACTCTTTTCCCGCTCTTCCTAACGTTCCCGGGATGAGCTTTGTGAAGTGCACACTCGTCCTCGATTTCCGTTCTCACCATCGCCTTGGCATGTCGCTTCTGCTCCTTTCGCAGGCGTTCGGTAAGCAACGACTTGGCTGATTCCACCTCGGCCGCGCATTGCTCGACCATCGACGCTTTGGCCTGCTCCACCAGTCGCTGGTCACTTGTGGTTCCGACGCCGCCGCCATACCGCCACTTGCCGCCGCGACGCATGCCCATTGAACTTCGACGTTTCGTATCTTTATCCGGATTGTCCGTATAAGCGCGCCACGAGGCGTTGCGCCGCCACGTTTAGTCAGCGCGCCATGAGCGGCCCCAGACCGTCGCGAGATTTCGCCGCCTAATGCAGGCCCACAGCTTGAACAAGTCTGCCATTTAACAGGTGAACAAAGAGGATGTGCTCTGTGGCTCCTTTGACATCAGGGCCCAACGACGGAAACATGCCAGTACGACCAACTCCGTCATTCACGAGATGATTTGAGTTACGACCAAAGTGCTTGATCGATCTATCGTCTACGAATTGTTTTTGACCCACTCGAGTTCAGACTCGACGAGGGTCGTGAGTCGCATGAGCAGTTGAGCATTCTGGACAAGTTCCAGACCTCGCGCCAGCAACATCTACGCACCGAGTCAACCGTGTGCATATTTCGACACAGAACGCGCGCACCTGCTCGACATCCTTTCGCAAGAACAAAAACGCCTTGTCAAACCGATCTTTGTCGACCCCACGCTTGTACAGCGGGTACTCTCCCGTCGGGTCGTTCACATCGTCGCGCATGTACGACCGCGACGAGAGGTGGACTATCGCATACCGGAGGTTCACGTTCAAGTACTTGGCCAGCAAAAAGACAAAGTGCGCAATGTATCCGAGGGCCGTCGATAGCAGCTCTTCGTCCTTCCCTGCCATGACAGCTTTAATCCCGAGCGCGACAACATTCCCATGCACATCCACATACACCACCATACAAACCTCAAAAGTATTCATAAAAAGTCGCATTGATGCAAACCCCGGAACCCCCAATAGCTCCAACGTAGTCGGGTCAATAAAATACACACGTCGCCATACAAACCTCAAGAGTATTCATAAAAGTCGCATCAATTCCCAACAAACCCCGGAACCCCCAATACCCCAAGAGTCGTCGGGTCAATAAAATACACGCATCGCTATACAAACCTCGAAAGAATAATAAAAAGTCGCATCAATTCCACACATACCGTTGGTCACATCGGCATTGTTGAACTTGATCCCGCCGATCGAGTACTCGCCCGCCCCAAGGTATGCGATGGGGTATATGTCGTAGAGCTGCACGACGAGTGTGGCCTGGAGCGCGCGGATGCTGTGGGCTACGCGCAGGACGTCCAACCTACACCTCTCATTCATGAGTACGTGGTTCATTGCCGCTCGGTGGGACGACGCACCGACGATACAAAATTCCATTCGTGATTTCGTTTGCATTGGCTTCAAGATGCGACAATTGCGCCAACGTCCGCGGCAGCCGCTGGTCCGCCGACAGCATGTGCTTCTCGACCTTGAGGACGGATTTTACTGCACCTCGACACGGGTTTGTTTACACGTGGTCGAGCAAAAGGAACCCATCCAGTCATGTGCACTCCACCAGCCACGACGACGCAGCACCAATGACGAAAACAACGTCGAGCCGAGGTGCATCGGCGCGAATACATCACAATGAAATGGACTTGGAGATTTACCTTGGTCGAGGCTCTGCTGCTTCTGCAGCGCTTGCTTTCGCAGCGCGAGAATCCGAGCTTGGAGTTGGAGTCTGGCATTCTCCTACGATACAAAACCAGGACGTCGCTCACAACTATTCTCGAGGCCAAGCACCACGAACATGATACCTTGGCAACGTGTTCGGCCTCGGCCTTCAACCGCTCGTCGACCAACTGCCGCTTCAACACAACATCCGCTTGGGCAAATTGGATCTGCTGATGGAGTGCAATGGTCGTGTCGAGGAGGTCCGCAGCTGTGTCCAAGTGGAACTCGGACTGCGGCGGAAGCGACGACGGCAGCGCTGCAAAATCTACTCCGACATGAATACACCGTGTCCATGGTACAGCGGGCTGCCAAGCTCAAACCCTCATGAAATGAAAACATACCACCTCGTGGCGTGCGCCGGGCTTTGATCACGTCATTTTGCACGAGCATCGTCATGACATCGCGGCGCACGTAATATGTAGAAGCAAACTCGAGGACAAGCGTGTTGAGGGGCAAGTAAAACAATTCACGAAAGTCGCATTGCAGCGGCTCGAGCTCATCCAGGGCGATGTGAAACCGGAACAGTTCTTCCTCGAAGAACGGCTCAAGGTCATTCGCGCTGCTGTCGCTGTCGCTCTCGTCCGCGACGTCGTCGTCATTGCCCCAGCTGCCCGACCTACGATATCGGTTTGAACGGGATAGGCAAGCGAGCCAACCTACGACAAGCGAATGCCAGACCCGTGCGGGTTCAAGTCATCTTCCAAGTACGCTTCAACGTTCTCATCTTCTTCGTCGATTCCATCGTTCACCACGATGTGGTTCTTGGCGTGAAAGCATGGGGTGCTGGACGTCGACGCCCCGTTGATCAATCGATACACGACGACGTCAAAGTCGGCATCGTCGTCGGCCATAAACTTGGACGCATGCTGCTGTAGTGGCTCGTTCGAGTGCATTTCCACGGCCGCCCATACGGGGTTCAACGTCTTGATCGCCACTTCGCTCTTGTACAACTCGCAGTCATGGCACATGAGGCGGAAAAACAAGTCCGGCAGCGCAATGTCGGCGGTAGGGTGCATGGTGACGGCGCTAGCGTAGCTATTCAAGAAGCCGCCCCCTACAGTGGCATGGCGGAGCGCCACAGTCTTGAGTTGCGACCGCGTCAACCCACCTCGTCCGTTGTGCATCGCCGTGCGAGGCAGAGTCGGGGCAATCGTGAACACCACACTAAATTCATCGATTCATAAATAATGTGTATCTGACTATCCGGATATTCAGTCCGCAGTGCGAAACATCGTAAAATAGTGTGAATTCCAGGCATTTTTAATACGGTCCAAGCATCAAAATATCACATTGCAAGGTGTAATATTGAAGAACCCGCAAATCAATGTACAACAACAGCCAGTGCGCACTCAGCAAATGCATTTACGCCCGGTAATAGCATTGTTGGGACGGATTTGATGGATGCATCGTTGAAAGGCACGCAATGTCACAACATTGTGAGTCGTTTCAAGATTGATTCCTTTGACACATGATATATTGTCAAATTTCATAAATGGATTGTATCACATTGTATTGTATATGGTGTATTAATAGCCCTGTCGAATAGATATTTCATGGATACGGCTCTGGTACCGAAAAAAAAAGATCGCGCTGGACGTGCGTCGGATTAGATCGCATTGTCGTGAAGGGGCACACTTGACGGCCGAAATCGAATGATAAATCTTCGGAACACTGATCCATTAGTTTCCAATTCTTGGCGCTGGTCCGAGCCGAGTGCGACCAACGAGGCAGCGATGAGTGCGCTACAGACGTCGAACGCGCCATCGTCCCCCGCTGCAGCGTCCACTCGATCGTGTCGAACGTTGCAGTCGTCGATGTGCTGCAAATGTGTCGACGTGGCAACCCACTCGTGCGCGGACTGCGACCTCCTGTACTGCCTTGCGTGCAGTGACCAGCGGCATAGCAAAGGATCCTTCCAGCGCCACAGCATCGACTCGATTCCAGACGTTTGTCCGAGTAAACTCGTCCACGCAACGCAAGTCAGGAACACGGCATGTGACGAGTGCATTCTGGACACGGCGGTGCTGCATTGTTCAGCATGTGAGCTCGCGTATTGCGATCCGTGCTCGAAGGATATTCATCAAAGCGGATCGTTGCAGCACCACAGCTTCAACTACCTCCCGCTAGGGTCGACGGCGTCGACGTTGGAATCTCCATTTTCATTGAAACAAGCAAGTGCGTTGGACCCACCACCACGCAAGCTGTCCACTGCAGACGCTGTCGAAGCCATGTGGAGCGGTGGTGGTTGGACCCGCAGCTTCGATCGCCCAACGTCGTCCAGCAGCGGCGGCGATAGCTCGTCGCCCACGTTTCGCTCGTCGTTCTCGTATCAATCTGTACGCAAGATCCACCAAATGCATCTCGTGACACGTGCTGGTGTAGTGGATGAACCCCGCGCATGACGCCATGCCGTCGTCAACGTCCAGCGACGACGGCTCCAAGCAATGTGTAGGAGACGCAAGCCTCCCGTTCACATCGGCGTTTTCTAGCGTTTCGCTGGGCCATCCGTCGACTTTGGTGCCCCATCGTGCGTACAATTGGCAGATGGACTCAATTCTATCGTAGACCACGAACGACAAGGCTGCATGCGACGACATGGGGAGCTGGCGCGTCCACCGCTTCCCCAACGACCACGGACATAACCTGCCACGCCGCCACGAATTATCCCAAAACCAACTGGAAGACTTGTTTTCAGCGCTCGAGTCGACCGACGCGACCCGCCACGTGTTGGTGCGCAGCGCGGCGCGGCACATGACGATGCGCCAAGTGTCGACGATCCAACGCGTCATGCATGTAAGCCATTCTTCGATCGACCGTCGAGCGGGTTCCCACCCCCATGGTAGACTTGTGGTGATGTCGCGCACTGCGAACATGCTTTCGCGCCGCATGGCGTACTGCTCTTCACCTATTTTAACCGGAGCGACGCCGCGATGGCTGTTCAGCGCGCTGCAGCCGTGCTGGACGACGACGACATTTCCGTAGACTTTAGCATGGCCATGCCGCCGACGTCACCCTGCACGGCGCAGGCGTTTGCGTTGGGGAAGGCAATCGTTTCGGTCGAAGTAAACAACGAACCACTGCCGTCCATGAACGACGTGCATGCGATATGCGCCCAAGTCGCTGCAGTAGCCTCCGTGATTCCTCTGGACGAGAATTCTGGCCGCTTCACGGTCGAATTCAACGACTCACGGGATGTGCTGGAGGCTGTCTCCAAGCTCAACGACGACTCAAGTGGCGGCCAGTTGGCCATGTCTGCAATGGTCGCCCCGGCGCCGACCGGGCATCTCGTGGACCTGTTCCATGCCGCCGCCAAAGCAACGACCGAGACATCCACCACCAGCCAGTACAAGTTTACTGACTCATTCGAGTCGCCGTCCAGACGCGAGTGGGGTCCAACCGATCCCGCTTCGACTGTCGGTCTGTCGGGAAAGCATCCTCTGTTGTCCGAGCCTTCGTTGTACCAAACCATTGCACCCACCCCCCCTCGGTCGAATGAATCGCATGGCAACCAGCAGAACCATCGGCCGTCGCAAGTTGCGTCGGCGTACCCGATCGCATCCTACGGCGCGACCCCCCCAACGTGCACTCAAACGTGGAGTCGTCACCAACAGTACTCGATGGCGCCCCACGCTGCTGTGCCGCTCCGTGCTCTGCCCCGACCGTCGTACCAATACACGTCGCCGTTCTCGCCTCCGGTCGTCGCCACCGAGTACAGCTTGGGCATTGACCGGGTCCACAAGGGGGAAGACACGCGGACGACGCTCATGATCCGAAACATCCCCAACAAGTACACGCAAACGATGCTCCTGGCCGAGATAAACCACCACGGCCACCACGGCTCGTACGACTTTTTCTACCTTCCCATCGACTTCAAGAACAAGTGCAACATGGGCTACGCCTTTATCAACTTTATGACGACGGACGCGATCGTGCCGTTCTACAACGCGTTCAATGGCCAGCGGTGGCGCAACTTTAACAGCGAAAAGGTGTGTGCGATCTCGTACGCGCGCCTCCAGGGCAAAGCCGCCATGATCAACCGGTTTCAAAACTCGAGCGTGCTCGACAAACACGAGAGCTACCGCCCCCTCGTGTTCAAATCGTTTGGGCCGGACAAAGGCAAGCACGAACCGTTCCCGGCCCCCCGCATCAAGCCACGACAAGTCCTCGACAACGCGGGGCCATCGTCGTCCCCGCCTCGTCCATCACTGTACTCTGCTCCGCCGCCGTCGCACCACCACCACCACGACAACTTTCGACTGTACTCGACCGCCGGCATGTACAACGGACCAACGCCTCTTGGAAGACCAGCGTACCCACTCTACCACCAGCACCACCACGTGAGTGACGCCGGACACTGGCGCTCCGGTGCCGCCGCGCAAATCTTTTCCCATAGCAATGGCTGCAGCGACGACGCGGCGGACGTGTCACTTGGCGGAACCAACGGCTACCTGGACGCCAAACACGCACCCACCGCCGCCCCGGCCCTCCCAGCTCTTCATGCGTAATCGTGGGGCCACAGGGCCGCCTCTCGCCCCCCCTTTGCTCCTACGTTTGCACATCCTCCTTGTTGTGCCTCTGTGTGTGTGAGGTACCCTAGATTTTGCTACGACCACAAGTCGCCCCATTTCTTGAATACACGTCAACGTCTCCCGCAGCACACTCGTTTCTAGCAGCCATATTCACGGGTATGGCGCTGCCGTTCACGACAGCACACACGATGCTCTGTCGACGCCACGTGCGCAAGGAAGGGGGCTTACAGCTTGTGTGCCAGGACAAAGGCAAGGCAACTTCGACTTCAGGTATCACGACGTGGCGCCGCTCATGTGTGGCGAGGTTTCCAGCCCATCCATCGTTGGCTGTGACTTTATAACGCAAGTGCTGACCCATTGAACAAGCGCGACGCGTTCCAGCACCACACGTTTGAACCGTCTATTGACGACGATACACACACCTTCCACTGCTACACACACACTCGAGACCCGCGCGCGCCTCGCATTCGACGACGTTTACGGGCCCGCACCAGATGAAGCCGTAGTTTGCGCTGTAACAATCGCAGTCGTCCTTGTTGTAGTTCAAGCACCGACGATCAGCCGAGTAATAGCACTCGTTGCACGTGGCGCAGCCAGGATGCGGCGTGGGCTGCGGGCTTGGTTCGGTAATTTGGGGCAACACCACCATGTCCGCGACATTGCACATGCCAATGCCACCGACGCCCCGCTTGAGGCGGATGTAGCCGGCTTCGCCCCAGCTAGTCCCCCACGAGTTGCGGATCTTGTACGACGAACCGTCGCACCCCACGGCAATGACTGCGTGGTCGCAGTGAGAACCCGAGCATTGCGAGATCACCCCCGACAAGTAGTTCATCCACGCGTGGTTGCCCGCTTCGACCAGCACCGACACGGGCTGGATGTTCAAGACCGCGTCGCGCTTCGCCCGTGACTTGGCCAGCAGGGCCAATTTGGAGTTTTTGTTTGGAGCACGAGTTCGTGCACGTGCCAGTTTGTATTGTCTTGCCAGACGTGTAGGGATAGTCACGTTCCAGGCACAGACCTTGAGTGGACACGAAGGTGGTGGCGGCAAACGGCCACCCGCCTCGGCAGCCCACGCTACCACCGTTGGTGGAGCAGCTCGTCACTTGCTGCTCGGACAGGTCGAGGAGCTGGCCCGTCACGATGCAGTGCGCCGATTCGGCGACACCCACGGCCGAGAAGGCCCAGCACGACCCGCACTGGCCTTGGTTGCGCACGGGGTTTACGCAATTGCCAGTGGTCCAGTCGACCGACGCTGCCTTGACGCTGCTCACGTTGACGTCGATGGAGGGAAGCGACCGGAACGCACTGCGCGTTTCCTCGACAGACACACCTTCGACGAACTTCTTGAACTCTGCTGGCGTCAAGAGGGCAAACGGGTGGTTGGAGCTGAACGTGGCATCAGGGTTGTTGCGACGAGCCTCTTCGATCGCGATTTTGTTGTTGTAGAACCGCTGGAGCGCGTCGTTTTCAAACTCCAATGGGCTCGAGCTTGCAGGGGCACGAGGTAGGACACCCTGCGCCGCGGCAGCAGCTCCAAACTCGTGGCGCCACTTGGCCAGCTCCTCGCCGAGTTGCGTGCGCTCGCCAATGGGCAGCGCCGTCACGGACGGTTTGGTCGCAGCGGCCGACGCAGCGACGACGGCGACAAACAACTTCATCGCGGTGGACACGTCGCAAGTTCCAACATGACATGTGGCGCTTCGGTTGTTGCTTGTCGAGATGATCCAGATCAAAGCGACATACAGTCATCCACCGACTTTTGCACACAGGTGTACGCATAAAGTTTGTCAGGTATCGAATGAGACCAAAATATTCGATTAAAGAGGTCAAAAATTAGACCGCAAGTCAGTTGAGCAAATCACAAATGGATGCCATCGAGCGCTTAATCCAAATATATAGTTGCTGTTCAAGCTCGGGGTATCGTGGTGGGAGGATATTGCGTCGGGTTTCCGCCGTTTTCGTGGCAATGAAGTTCCATTGTCTGGTATCCTTCACCAAGCGCAGAAGAGTTGTGCGGTGAGGTGCGAAGCCAAACTGTTCAACAACCCAGGGCCGCAACAGGGACATGTTTGCTGGAGTGATCTTCTTGTAGTATTCACGGATCACTTGCTTCTGGTGTACTAGTATCACATACTCTACTTCACCGTGAGAAGCTCACCGTAAGCTGCATGTCTACCAAATTGCGCAGACAATTGTGCACGTGAGGAGGCACATGTGACGTGTTTTTAGTCGGGTGCGCGTTCACCCAGCACACCTTGTCGAGATGCACGCCATGTCAGCGTATGTGGTGGCGAAGGTGGCGGTCCAAGCTCGTTGTTTCCGCCTTGAATGTCGGTGGACATGCGTCGACGGGCGACGGCAGCCATGCAAGTCGCGAGAGGCGGACGATGCTGGCCCAGCACTGCTGGGCGGCGCCAACGCGACGCATCTGATACGTACCTGAGTGTGATGTGTGTGGTGTCTTGGGCAAGTCAAAGCGCCGGCATGTCGTGGCCGGGCAGCGAGGGACGTCGATGTCCGCAGATTACTCGCTCTCGTTCGCATCACATGCACGACGGCCATCGAATCGAGCCGGTGGCGTGGGACACTGTCACCACTCGGCGCAAGTGTCCCATGCATGCGCACCCCTCGGGTCGAAACAGACTGCGCGCGACAACCCCCCCACCCAAATCAGACACACACATTTCGCACAGCGACATCGTGGTGGCGTCGGCGACCCTGATAAATTCGTGAACAGGCATGGCCAACACGAAATGACGTGGGACCGGTTTCCATCTAACGTCGAAGGCATCGTCGATGGTTCACGAACGCAAAACAAGATGCACAGACCGTTGGGGCAGTGCTTGGTATCATCGACCAAGGCTACACCGGTCGATTCCTCGAAGACAACGATCGAGAAATCGTGTCACGGCTTGCACGCACGTCGCGCTCATCCCCAACCGATCGAAAACAGTGCCAATCCTGACGAGAAAGTAGTCCTACGTTCGAGGATGGGCCCATGCGTCATGGTACGATCGGACCATTTTGATGGACATCCCGCTGCCTTCGCATGCCGGCCTCAGTCGACCGACTTAGGCAACAATTTGAAACGGCGTCGTGAAGGTGCCGAGGATATTTCGTCGAGCAGGTTGCCGATGAAGACTGTGGGTTCCATGCTCTCGACGAGATCCGTGACAAAGCCGGCCGCATCCAAGTGCAGTTCGTAGGTGGGGTTGAATGAGGCTGAGTCATGCTGGATGCTGGCAGTCAGAACACCCGGTTCTGTCGAGAACATCCCCACTGCCCTGTCCATCAGGTCGCAGGATGGTCCTGCAACAGTAGGAGGTTTTTTGTGCCTTTTAGAGGCTTTTTCCTCATGTCGTAGTAAGTTGCAGCGAAGGCCACGTTACATCATTAGGATGTCGTGACCTCATTGGCCAGTTGGCCTACACTGACTGATGGGCTTCGCCCACCGTTCACTTCTACTTCTACTTCTATTACGAGAACCCCTATCTTCTCAACTCCGTGTTTTCTCTTCGCTACCTGCCCCTCCAACTGGTTATGAGCACTACAACGCCGAACTCTGTGGCTTCCCGCCCGATCCTGTCTGTCACGAACCACCTTCGTGGCATCGACAACTTTGACGAGTGGCACT